CAGTATAGTTGGCACCAGCGTTATTTCATTATTACTGAGATACTATTATAGTTTTTATTCATTGTTTGAATTTGTTTTTATTTTTAGATTTCTAGATTATTTCATTTTAATTTTTGTTAAAGTTTGAGTAATTTTGTTGTATTTTTGTCATCTTTACTTTTTTAATTTTTACTGTCCATTTAATGTTTATACATTTTTATTTCAGTTTTACGTTGTCATTTTAGTATCAAGTTAAACGAAGTGAAAATGAGAACTGTTTCCTTTGAAACTAGCTGAAATAAAAGTAACTAAAATACTTTTGCAATTAAACAATTTTTTTGTTATTATTATTATTTCAAGTAACACATTTTTGTATTTTTTTTTGATAGTGCTAATGAACTTTAATAACCCAACAGTTGAGACTGGTTGCAATATTAATACATTTAAAAGTGTGACGTTGTTGAGAGTTTCCACACTAAATAACTTTAACCAATAGCGTAGAGCAGACCCAGGGAACCCCAGCTCCAGACCGCAGGCGCTCCTCAGAGGCAGTTGAAGCAGCAGCTGGGGAACTGCTGCACATGCTCCACACGGCAGGTGGCGCCGACCACAAATGTCACCTCTCTCCAAGGCCGGCATATTCAGCTGGGATACGATTAGGCCCCGTCTCTCATCCTGAGAGTTCCTGAGAGAATGCGAGGGAAAGGCATGTGCTTCTAGCACATTATCTGAATGGCAGACGTGCCGCTGTCTGACCGCTGCTGCTTCCTCCGGCCCGTCATGACAATTGTGCACTCATTTGTTGAGGGAGCTTCATTCTGCAGGACCTGCGATTGTTTAGGGATTCCTGTGAAGGACAAACATATCAGAAGGGTCAGTCATGTGCTGCAGTACTAAAAAAAATTATATTTATTGATTCTACACTTTAAAAAAAAAGGGTAGAAACAATTTTCACTCTGAAATAGAAAAATAAATAATAATTCACCTAATTAAGACATAAGATGAAGGCATGAAAAATTACTTTATAAAACCATTTAAAAAAAACATCATACTTCAAATAATCCTAAATTGAAAGAAAAGAAAATATACAATTAAAAAACTTACATTTATTTTAATTTTAGCTAGCTGCCAAAGAAACATTTCTCATATTAATTTAATTATAAAATAATAACTAAACTAGAAATAAAAAATCTATACAAATTATAAGAGTGTTTCAGTGACGTTTTGGAAATGAGAAAAAGAAAAGTATGAGAAAAGTCGTTTTTATGTCTTTTATGCAAAAAGAACATCCGGTGAGGGTTTGTCTGAATCACATTTAATAGTGAAGAGTGTAATGATGAGCCAAACAGCATCTGCAGCAGTACAAGCATGTATGTTTGCCATTCTCAAACATGTTTCCTATCAGGATCTGTCTGTCGTACTGTGAGAGAAAAGAAAGAAAGTGTCTTTCAGAGCACGTGTTCTTCATGATGACAACAGGACGGGTAAATCATGCAGATAGAACTTGCTCTCGTCACATCTGATGTCTGCTATGTCACTGACAGCTGACACTGTTAAACACACCAGTATCTCTTTAGCCAGCCTTTAGCTGAGCTCTTCACATGCTTCCTTCCTCTTCTCTGATCTTTCTCTCAGCCAGCATCAGTTTTAACCTCTACATCACACGGTTATTATAATTAACTGCATCTGTGAAAATGTTCTCTTTACTTGAAAATTGATAAGCAAACAATAGGTAAAATAAAATAAAAATATGTATAATATTATTAATATAAAAATGAGATTTAATATATTTTATTAATATTAAAAGATATGTAAAAAATAAGTTGTGTGTAATATATACAAAAACCTTCATATATATGTCAAGTCAAGTCAAGTCACCTTTATTTATATAGCGCTTTTAACATAACGTACTCTATGATTAGCTCAGTGAATAATAAAAAAAAAACAGACCCGGCTAGAACAAGCGGAGTGATTTAAAATTGTGAAAGGGCGTTCCTGTAGCGATACCAGAACAATATCTCACGGTTCTCAACCAATCAGAAAAATATATATATATATATATATATATATATATATATATATATATATAACAGACAAAATATATAAATGTTTTTGAAAATTTAAATATTCATTCACTTATTAACGGAAATGAAATACAATTCAATGTGTGTGTGTGTATATATATGTATATATATATATATATATATACAGTGGGGAAAAAAAGTATTTAGTCAGCCACCAATTGTGCAAGTTCTCCCACTTAAAAA